GAGTCCGTTTGCGAGAGGCCGCCCAAGACGGCCCGGGCCATCACCCGGCCATAGGACAGCAACGAGAACATGGCGCGGGCAACCCAGCAGCCAGCACGAAGGGGGCCGAGATCACTTGAGCTACAGCAGCCCGCTCCAGCTTCTCCCTGCTACCGAACCAGGCTGCCCCTCTGCGCCAGCCTCCTGCCCCCCGCGCCTCCCCGGGCCTCAGAACCGAGTCCTCCCTTACAACCGGATCCCCCTTCGTCCCTTTCTGCGCCCCGCCACCATCTTCCGTTAACACGCTTCGGAGTTCAAGCCTGGACAGCAGCGACGACTACGGGGAGAGAGTGAGGTCAACTCCGCCCCTAGTTCAGAACCCGCTTCGCAGGCTAGGGCCACGCCCACAGCATCCGGGACCTCCCTATGAACTCGCAAAATATACAGGCGTCCTACTGGGTCTCCATTGGCTGCCGTCCTCAATGTATTTGCATAAAAAGCAACCAATATGTCCGCGACTCCCATAGGCTCTGTTTCTAAAGAGGATTTGTACCCCAACTATGCCACAGACGTACAGACTACAACTACCAGGTACAATACATGAAAAGTGCTCCTCTTGGTCAATGGTCTGGCACAGTCTCCTCGAATGTGTAGTTCCCCATAGACCTTGACCAATCAGGGCCTGGGAGCGGAGAGCACGTAAAGTCTTTCATTTCCTGTCCCCAGCCTGCCAGGGGTGCACAGCAGCTAAAGACACACACCAGCTGCCATGCGCTCCCTCACGCACAGACATTGATTAGCTTGCGGGTAGTGGAGCATGTGAGGTTTTATCTCGCTAGGTGCCTACACCAGGGGTTCCCAACCTCTTTCATGCTCCGCGCCCCCTTGACAAACTTCTCGTATCCCCTGGGGGTACACATACCCCAGGTTGGGAACCCCTGGTCTAGACAGAACCAATAGTTGTTTAAAAGAGCTGGGCTATGTCTACATTGGCGGGTTCTTGCGGAAAAACCTGCAGAGCATCCACACACCCCACCCACTCTTGCACAAGAAGATTTACAGTAAAGCAACCGAACAGAGGCCTTCTTCCACAAGAAGGCAGTGTGGATGGACAACACTTTTTATTTCAGAAGGTTGAGAAAGCTACAGGGGAGGGGAAGCTGTTCTAGATTTGATCCTAACAAACACGGAGGAACTGGTTGAGAATTTGAAAGTGGAAGGCAGCTTGGGTGAAAGTGATCATGAAATCATAGAGTTCACAATTCTAAGGAAGGGTAGAAGGGAGAACAGCAAAATAGAGACAATGGATTTCGGGAAGGTGGATTTTGGTAAGCTCAGAGAGCTGATAGGTAAGGTCCCATGGGAATCGAGACTGAGAGGAAAAACAACTGAGGAGAGTTGGCAGTTTTTCAAAGGGACATGGTT